AGCCCCTAGCAAGCTCTCCCTCCTCCCTGAGTTACCCCCCGCCTGCACACAGCCCCTAGCTACCCCCTCCCTGCACCCTAAGCTGTTTTCAAACGTTTTGAGCGAAACCCCCCACCTTTGAGTTATAATTTTTGGTTGCACCCCCCCTCCCAACCCAGACAGGCTGGGTGGCCTGCTGAGGTGAGTCAGGGAGTGGAGGTGGCGCTACCTCGCTGGACTCCGCCATGTGGAGGTGGCTCGAGCCCCACTGGCCCCTGCCCCCCCCCAAATAGAAGTCAAACTATGCCTATGCCCAAGGCCCCTGCCCTGAGGCCTCCCCACCCCTGCTGAGCCCTTCGAGAGAAAAAGGTTGAGAACCCCTGCACTATAGGGCTTAAAAGGCCATGTCAGATCTGGTAATTATTAGCTTGATCTGAGAACTGGGTTCAAGTGACTGGCCTTTCCTCCTGTGATTCAGGGGGCAGTAGTTAAACCTCTTACTCCAAGAGCTGCCCCATAAAGGATATTGGGAGAGCAGTGATTAATCCCCCATCTTGAGCTACCTGTTAAGATGTTTCAAGAGAAGACTGTCTACCCCACCCCAAGAGGGGCCCAATAAGGGGATTTCAGGAAGCAGCTATTGACAACCCCCAGAGCTGCCCCATAAAAGGACAGGAGACAGCTGTGATAGCAGTGACAAGTGAACACTATGGGGAAAAAGGGACACCCCTTCTCTGGTGTTTCCCTTACATACGTCTTGTTGCGGATGTCAATGGCACAGGAGCAGCGAATCACTGATGAGAGCAGAGTCCAGATGCCAAAGGTCCGAGCTTGGAGACCATTCACTGTGCAGAGAAGAAGAAACAGATGAGGAAAATGAATGCTCCCTCCCATGAGCTACCATCTCTGCAGGCTGGGCAAAGTGGTGGAGGGAAGGAAGAACATGAGATCTCCTCCCAGCTAGTGCAGTTACACCCACAGCAAGTAGGAGAGAATAACAAGGTTTCCTAGATGATTAAAGGGCAGCTGAGTGGGTGTTTCTGTAGCTGTTGAACCATGCACCCTTTCCAGAAACCACAGACCTCAAGGGGGAAAAGGAACCACGGCTGGTTCCAGCACTGAAGAAGCCGTACTAAGATCACGGAGTTAAAAGTGCATTGCTGTGGATGCTGAACAATGCTGTCTGCTGCCTGGAACTGCTGAATAGCAGCATTTGCAGGCTTGGTGAGAGGGTGATATCTAGTGCCAACCCTTCTGGAGAAAGGGTTCCAGATCTTGGCCGGCAGGTGACTTAAGGCTGTAGAAGATGGTACAGTGGAGACAGGTTGGCACTCTCCAGAGAAGATGAGGGCTCATTGCTGAAGAAGGGACGGTGCTGGTTGCCCTTGTGAGTTTGGGCTAGCATATGGCTCACAGGAGGTTAAGACCCAAATTGTGGCTCACTTCTGAGATGTGGACAAAAGTCCTCCAGGACCTGGGGCAGGATGTTGATACATGAGGTATAGCTGATATGGTAATGCCTCCTTATGGGCAGGAAGGGCAACCTGGGCTCCTTACCAAGGGTGGGTGTGCCTGTGTACAGCTTCTCGGAGAGGAAGCTGTGATCACGAAAGCTCTGCAGTGTGTTCCCCATTGCAATGATGGACACCATGACCAGCCAGCTGCGCAACACATTCAGAAAACGGCTCATCATGCTCTGGTACCTGCTCTTAGGGACAAAGGCAGGAGATCAGCATCACAAAAGGAAACCACATGGATTCCACCCCCTAGAACGCTTCCACTTAAACCAGGGTCCAGGCTTTTCTACAGAAAGTCACCTTCTCTTCCCACAGATTCCCATAAAGAGACCCGCCCCTACCAGATGAGGCCTACACTACACCCCTCATAATGCAAAGGTAGAAATCTGTATGTCCATCAAAAGGGGATGGAAAAGCATGATGCTGCCTCACTGTGGGAGGTCACTAATTGTCTGGGTCCTGGGCCAAACTTGACCAAGTAGGTCCTGTTCAGAAACCTTTGGTGCAGCCTCTCCACCTTCCTCTCTCCCCCGACTGGCAGCAGCAGCTTGCCACATCACCCCAAACAGAGACGTCTGCAAAACCGATAGTGTATTGAGCTCCCTGTATGGCAAAGCTGGGCACTGACCATCACGATATCAAGCCTTGGACTCCCCCGTTAATGCATCCTACTCGCCAATGCCAGTATAGGGATTTGCACTCCCCGCTCCACTGTCCCAGGGCTGCACCCCACTTTGCTTCCTCCTGTCCCAAATCTCTCACACAAGTCCCCCACCCCCTTTCCGCCCCGACTCCCATCACCTCCCTGTCGCCTTTCCCCAACAGATCCCCCAGCCCAGCCCTCCCACGATCTCCCCCGAACCCCTGCACCGCATCCTCCAACCAACCCTCACGCCACTGCACACCTGCTCGCAGCCCCAGCGACTCCCCACCTCTATGCAGCAGCACCCCTGCCCCTGGATGCTCTGCGTATTGATTGGTTCCCTGTTAGCCCTGCCCCTACTCTGATTGGCTGTTAGACCCATCTCTACTCACACGCCATGTGGATTGATAGGTCACTATACGAATCAAAGACACTAAGGGGGCTCCGCCCCTGCCGCGCGGTGACGTAAAATATGGGCCCAGCCTATACTTCGGGTTCCTCGGTCGCCATGTTGGAGAAGGCGGAAGCTGCAAGCGGCGCAGGCAAGGCGTGCGCTTGCGCCTTGCCGAGTAGGGAGCGCAATGTAGCGTTTGCGCCTGCGCGGCTGGAAGAGCGAAGGTGGGGTGCCGCTGGCGCCTGCGCAGCAGGGAGTTGGGGCGGTTGCCTGCCTGTTGGTTGTTGTAGTAACCGGGGAAGCGTCGGGAGGAGGGAGCTGCGGCCGCCGGGGCTGAGTGGCCCGGAGCTCAGCCCCCCCGGGAAGACGAGGCTGTAGGTACGGGAGGAAGGCGGGCGGGGCCCGGCGCGATCCCAGGGAATCCTGGAACTCACCAGGGTTCCCAGCGGCGGGGGAAGCGGCGGGTGCCGCCTGGTAGCACGGCGGGGAGCCTGGTGTCCCGGGCTCGCTAGCCCCGAGGCGGCTGCGTTCGGCGGGGCCGGCTGGCTGTGTGGCGGCGCCAGGTGCCTCCCCGGAGCGCGGCCGGGCCCCTTGGTGGCAGGTGGGGTCGGGTGAGTGGGCGGCGTGGGGAGGGGCCGCTGCCCTGGGAAGCCCCTTATCCCAGGCAGCCTGTGGTGCCCACTGACCCCTAGGCGTCACCGGGGTGCTGGACTCTCCGCGCATCCCGGACCGACCCTTCTGGCCGGGCTAACGGGGGGAGTCGGAGGTTCCTGCACGGGCAGTGACCAGAGGGCCTGGGCCAACGCGGGTCGGCACCAGACCGCGTGGCGGTCCAGTCCCTCCTTCATAGGCGGTAAAGCCCGAAGTGACCGTCTGAGCTCCTGTATAACCGAGGCCAGAGAACTTCCCCCAGAGAACTTCCCCATGTGCGGAGCTCCAGGGCTTGTTTGACTAAAGCATGTCCCTAGCAGGGAAGCCTTTGAGGAAGAAAGTGCTGAAGTAGCCAGACCTTTTCCAGCTAGTCTCTGAGTCAGGCGCACAGGAAAGTAACTGTCTCCTCTGGGGTGCTGAGTCAGCCCAACTACACTTGGGCAACTAGCCTGGGACTTCCTGCACTGGAGCTGTTAGACCCAGGAAGGGTCTCTCAGGGGATTCTTCATGATGGTTGAAGGCCCCAAAGGAGTATCACTGTGACTAAAAAATAGCAGTGCTATCTATCTCCTGTCTGTGCAGTCAAGTGTCCTGGACTAGTGGCCAGAACCTGATGGTTCAGAGGAAAGTGCAAGAACTGACAGTTATGGAAGTTTCTTCCTGCCTTCTGGCAGCAAGTAGGTTGGTTTATGCCTTGTAGCAGCAGGTTTATATCCCATGTAGATTTGTGTACTGGAAACAGTTGAGGTAGTGTTGAGTTGACATCTGTCTCTAGGCTATTCTGCTTAGTCATATACTCATACTTCTGATGATTATTGCAGGTAGCCGCACTGGCTAGATCCACTGATTCTATATGAAAGGGTCTAAGAGACCACTGTGACTGGGCTGGATGAAAACTCCCATAGGAGATGCCAGTTGGGATGGCTCGGGACCTGGAGGAAACTGGCTCGTCCTCGGAGGAGGAAGAGGTGGAAGAAGGGCCAGAGTAAGTAAAAACATACACTGTGCCTGAACCTTAGTTATGCTTCACCTGGAATGTACTGGGGTCTTTGGAGGATATTTACTTATCTAGTGTGACAGCTGCATTCTCTCTCTCCCCACATCCTTCAAGTCTGTGTGCTGAGTGGGGAAATAGATGGGGTGGGTCTTGGGCTTTTAATAATAAAGAAAGATCAGGTCACATGGTGTGTTGGTAGGTGCAGAACTCTTTGCTTTGGGAAGCCTAAAAAGGTCCCCCTTTCCTGTAGAGAGGGAGTCTCTGGAAAGGGATGAGGCCTTGGCTGTGGGGAGGGATAGCTCAGTGGTTTGAGCATTGGCCTGCTAAACCCAGGGTTGTGAGTTCAGCCCTTGAGGGGGCCATTTAGGGATTTGGGGCAAAAATCTATCTGGGGATTGGTCCTGCTTTGAGCAGGGGGTTGGACTAGATGACCTCCTGAGGTCCCTTCCAACCCTGATATTCTATGATTTCTCTTGCTCCACTCATTTTCTGGCTTCCTATCTATTGGTACATTCTTTCATGACTCACTGGCATCCCCTTCTCACCTAGGGTGGATTCTCTTTGCTGCCATTCAGGGAAATATGGGTAGCCCCCAGTTCTGCTGGCTGCATTTGCTTTGGTTTTCACCTGTGGCAGCACAAGGAATTGCAGAGCAGCCTCTGTTAGGGGGCAAGAGCACTCAAATGCCCTACATATGTTCTATTTAAGCTTAATAGGAACTATGTTACTTCCACTCATCTTTGAGTTCTTGTCAGCCCTAACCCCCAGCTTTGTCTAGCACCTCCTTCCATCTCTGCTGCTCCAGGGTTGTCCATTTCCAGAATGGTGTCCTGCTCCCACATTATCTGAGTTTGCTTTAATAAGCTGGGTTCCCTTCTTTCTCAAAGATCACTCTCAGCATAGCAGGGACTTGGAGGCAAAGGCTTCCCCAAGCTGACCATGCAGAGGGCCTCTACCTATTGCTCCAGACAAAATTGAGCTGGCCAGTTGTCCTCCAACATCCAGGGAAGCGGTAGCAGGGCCCAAGTTTGTGTCCTTCAGTCAGACCACAGTTTGTCACAATGTCTGCACCAAGTGACCAAGGTCATGCTAGGGATGAATGTGAACAGTCGCTTGGAGGATAGTCTGAGCCCTAGTGGTCTCACTGCAAATCCTCAGGGCAGAGCTTAACCTAAAGCCTCTTCCTGCTGTCTTGGCTCTATTCCCACTTATGTAAGGTGCTAGCCTGTGCTCAGACTTGGTGCTGCTGCACAGTGGCCCTGGGTGAGCAATTGAATTCAACTAAGGGTGGGTGGAAGGGTTTTGGGGCCAGATAGGAGGGTTCAGGTGCGAATGGTCTGGTCTGGTGGTGGGAGGGAGCACGGATGGTGCTTGCCTTTATTTAGGGAAAGGAAATATTTGTTTCCCTTTCAAATGCAGCACATTTGGTCTGATACATTGGATGGTCTATGGGGAAAAATGATCTTTTCTATCCCATGTGGGGAGGGGGCCCACGCAGATTACTTCTTTACCTCAGTCTTGAGAAGGTGCCCATATAGGAGCCGCCTTGTGCACCTCTGTCTAGAAATGCAGAAAGGGAGGGTACATAGGTACTTCTCTATGCATTTGTAATCCAAGGGTACAGACAAGTATATCACTGAATGACTTTTTTTTAAAGAGTTTATCACTGGTGGAAAGTGGCAGCCTATTTTAATACTGGGTTGGTGGACAGGTGAGGGAGGGACCACTAAGCCCAGAACTCAACAGATTCAAAGAATGATAAAAACAGGGATGGGGCAGTGTGTATAGGTCACAGGGATCTAGCTGGGGCACAAGCAGAGAATCCTGTATAATGCCCACTGCTCTAAAAAGGAGCCCTTGGAGACTGAATCCTTTGTGCCTCACCCAGTGTGCCTTCCCCCTGCCCTGGACAGAATTCAGATTTTATGGTTCTTTCAATTATCGACCTTTCTCCTGAGATTGTAAAGGTGGAGGGGGGACAGTTGTGTTGGTGGTTTTGTAGACACCTGTTTGGTGGGAATTGCATTGAAGTCATGAATTTATTTCGTATTGGCTGAACCATCTTCTATTGGTCAGAGAGAAGCTTTTGAGCTTACACAGAGCTCTTCCTCAGGTCAGATCTGAAGAAGACGTGTAAGTTCAAAAGCTTGTCTTTCATCAATAGAAGTCTGTCAAATAAAAGATATTACATCACCCATCTTGTCCCTCTAATATCCTGGGACCGACACAGCTATGATAACACTGCATATTGTCTGAACAGATTTTTGGGGTCCACTATCCACCTGGGTGGGATTTGAAGCAAGAATTGGAGGTGAGAGGCTCTATACCCTACCCAATACACTGAGTCGTCATGTATCCTGGAATGAGTTCTACGGTGACCAAGGGTAAACACTTCCAGGGGCAAGGCTACATTAGGAACTTTAAATATTCTCTTCCTAGCACACAGTCTGATGATGCAGGCCTAGCAAACTAGTCGGTATCTGTTGCAGTGTTGTCAGCTCAGACCCTGACTTTAGCCTCACCTAATAGGGATGTTGGTCAGGCAAAACAAACAACATTGCTCTGGCATGCATCTGAAGAAGCTACAAATAATGCCAAAAATCTTACATGCTCTGCATATCCACCCGTCTATATGTGTCTTTCTCTTCTGATTGATCCATGTAGATCTAGAAGATGTTCTACACCCTCCCAGGGTGTTTGCTTTTCTGTAACTATTCATATTTGATTTCCCTTAGCAGTGAGTTATGATGACTCTGAGCTTTATCCACTTAGACAGAATGACAAATTTGCCTTCTGTGCCTTTATATTTACATAATAGCTTTCAGTGTTTTGTGCTGTATTTCTCTTCTGCTGCTTCGTCTTGTCACAGCTCCAGAGGAGTGCCCCCTCTTGGCCAGTCACCAGACTGCTGAATCCATGGATATTTTAATTACTCACTCTGAATGGAGACCTGCCATTGCCACTGTCTTAGGATCTCTGGGCACACTCTTAGGGTGCAGATCTTCTTTCTAGCACTCCCGCCTGAAAGGTGCAGTCAGGTGGTCCTTTGCCCAGTCTCTAGACTCAGTGCTGGCCCCTCAGACTTGCCCTCTCCCAGAACTCCAGTCGGGTGGGTGCTCTGGGCCCACAGTTTGTCTTCAAGGCACATGTGGTAGGTATAACATGTTAAATTTGTTAGTCTCTAAGGTGCCACAAGTACTCCTCTTCTTTTTGCGGATACAGACTAACACGGCTGCTACTCTGAAACATGTTAAATGCAGACACTGTGTACAGGATTCTAAAACAAGTTTTCCTCTCCACTTTCCCACTCCTTGCAGACAAGTTGGAGAATTACTTTCTCCCAGTCCCCAGCTAACCTGCTGAGCATATCTGTTGTCTGGTCAGAGTACAGTAGTTAAAGTTAAGTACGTACCATTGTCCTTAGTCTGGTGTGGACATTCTATAGGTTGTCAGTCCATGCTGGATATGGATAGAGGAGCATTCTGTGATAAAGCAGTTTCACCACTTCAGTATCAAACAGGATTCATAAGTTGTACAGACACATTCACCAGACTGGCAACTCTGGTTGCAGGCTTTTCCCTTCCATGTTCTGGAACTGGCTACCTCAGTGCAGGTAAAGCAGGCCCCTGATCTGCTGATAGATATGGTGCTCCTTCCTGGTGCTGAGCCTTTGAACACATACAAACGTCAGTGTTTTTGCACTGTGATAGTCTGGGGCTTTAAGGCAGTGTCATGTTGACACTGCATAGTGAGATGTGGCCAGTGCTAGGCAACAACAGGGCACTGTCAGTTTAGCCAATCTTAAAGTTACTGTTTGGTACAATACAGTTTCTGCTTCCATTCCTGTTGCCAGGCTTGTCTTGTAGTGTTGTGTTTAGGTACCTTAACAAAAAGCTTTTAAAAAAAATCTGCAAAACCAAAGAGCAGAAGCAAGACTGAGGTGCAAAAGGGCTATGCCCAAACTACCTAGCTAAGGGTTGGACTGAACTGGGATCAAATTGAACAGATTGCAACTGTTCTCCCCTTTTAATAGAGGCTACCGTTCCCAGTATGCAATGTGGCCTGGCTGCTTGGCTCAAAATAGATTATTGGATTCTGGCACGTATAGCCTCCATAGGCTGCTGAGTGGCCATGGACAACCCTGTAGAATTCTGGGCTGCAATCCTATTGTCTTTGACATAAGTTAAAAAGAAAGGGTGCAGATAGCGTCACCCATTGTGTAGAACAATGTGTGATTCCTGTTGCTTGTTTAATTTCTGAGCCCAGGATGCCAGCACAGTGGCCACTTAGTGCACTTGGGAGTACAGATCTGAAGCAAGGCAGCAGTGCACTAGTATGCAATCCTTATACAGTGGAGTGGCTCCTGCTTTGCTTGGGTTGGTGGGGCTAGGAGTGTGGATATAATGCTTGTGCTGTATTCCTCTGTCCTTGGGTGTGGCTCTTGCTTTGTGTAGAGATGTGATTCCTGAGTTCTTTAGCGAAGAAGTGTGAGGCTCCTCTTGGGGAAGTCGTGCAAGTTACTTAACCAGTTAAACTCATATCAATTAAATATAAAAGCCCAAGGTAAAATGAAGGAGGGAAAGAAGAGATGTCAGGAGGAGCTGTCTGGATTGGTTGTGTTTTGGGATTGGTCACGGTTTGTTCTTGTTCTTCTTGGTCAAGCCAGTGCTGTCTGAAAAACATCCCCCAACTAGAAGCCTGTGTTATGGAGGGTGACTGTTCTCCCTTGAATGAGACCTGCTTTGTTCTGGATTGGACCAAAGCAAAAAAGACGGTTTTAGGTTAGGATTTACTCATACTTTAAGCTAGCCCACTTGTGCCTGCATATCACACTTGCAGGCTGGTGTGCAAGCCTGGGAATGTATGACACTGCTGTGGGGGGACTAACCAGGACCCCTTCATAGTGAGTAATCCACTGTGTATGCATGAGGCTCAGTTGCTCTCATGTTGTTAACCATCTCTCTGTTGCAGGGATCACCCATGCATCATGTGGACTGGTGGCTGCAGGAGGATCCCCATATTGGTGTTTCATGCAGAAGCCATTCTGACCAAGGACAGTTACATCCGCCTGATTGGAGGTGGGTGCAATTACTTGTGCCAACTCTAGGCCTGCTGCAGTGAGGAGTGGGGCTGGATAGCCTCCAAGCAGGTGCCTTCCTCCTTTCTGAGATGGGGAAAAAAGAGATGTCAGGAGGGGCTGTCTGGATTGGCCATGTTTTGGGATTGGTCACAATATTTTCTTGTTCTTGTTCAAGCCAGTGCTGGGAGCCACCTGTTTAGAAAACATTCTGCAACTAGAGGCCTGAGTTGTGAAGAGTGGCTGTTCTCCCTTGAATGAGACATACTTGGTTCTGGAATGGACCTAGTTGCCTCTAAATGGTTCATTGACCTGTGTTTGTATTAGAATCTAGATCGGGGTGGGCAAACTACGGCCCGTGGGATTGCCACCGCCGTGGCGCTTGGAGCTAAGACAGGCTCCCTGCCTGCCCTGGCCCCGCATTGCTCCCAGAAGTGGCCAGTACCACATCCCTGCAGCCCCTAGGGGGATGGGGGCAGAGGGCTCCGTGTGCTGCCCTTGCCTGCAGGCACCGCCCCCCGCAGCTCCCATTGGCTGGGAATGGAGAACCGTGGCCAATGGGTGCCTCGGGGGAAGGTACCCGCAGGCGAAGGCAGTGCACAGAGCCCTCTGCCTGCCCCTCCCTCCCCTCCCCTCCCCCCCTCTGGGCCACAGGGACGTGGAGACTGCCTTAAGCCCTGCTACTGCTCAAGGTAAGTGGCGCTGGGCCGGAGCCCGCACCCCAACCCCCTGCCTTGAGCCCCCTGCCACACCCCTCCTGCACCCCTGCACTGAGCCCCTCAGACATCCTGCACCCCAGCCCCTTGCCCTGAGCCCCCTCCTGCACACTGCACTCCCTCCTGCACCCCAACCCCCTGCCCCAGCCCTACATTCATGGCCCTTCATGCAGTTTCCCCACCCAGATGTGGCCCGCGGAACAAAATGCCCCCCCCCCC